TATTCCAGGCAGGTTCACCCCACGGGAGACCTGGGCCTGCCGGACTTGGAAAGCGCCTCGAGCGTGTTTGGGTTCCCCGACCGGGGCCCTTTCCCAGCCAGGAGGGCACAGCTGGGCCTCGGGCTGCCAGGGCAGCAGCGGGGGGTGGAGAGGGTGGGGTGTCCCAGAACCTGCCGCGGGAGAGCCCACAGAGGCAGCGTGATCTGACAGCTGCCCAGCACGTCTGACAGCCTGGGAGGGCTGGTCCCGCTGCGGCCAGGCAGGCTGGATGCCGCCCTGGCTGGTCTCGTGTCCGGCCGGGTCCTCACCTGGCGGTGGTGAACACCTAATACTTGTCCCAGCAGGGCAGGCCCTCAGAACCCTGGCCGCCCTGGGCACCCCCTGCCTTCTGGTCACTGGCCGGTCGGTCCCCGGACCAGGTCTTTCCAGGGCGAAGGCATGGCTCCCCCTGGAACCCCTGAGGTGGTGGGATCCTGTGGAGAGGGGCCAGCTGGGCCTCAGCGCTGGGCCAGGGCGGCCTCAGGGTCAGGGCGGGAGCCGCCCTCCACGCTGTCCAGAAAGAGCTGCGCTGCCAGCCACGGTCCGCCCGCCGGGCGAGCAGTTTCACTTGGAGAAAAGGTCCCATTTCCCGTTTGCTGCCGCCATCTCCCCTCAGCCTGGTGCTCCTCTCCCGCCAGCGGCCAGCAGGCCCGTCCTCTGGGCTAGTGCCACTGCCCCACGTGCCCAGGGTGAGGCAGGCCTGGCCCTGGCCAAGGGAGCCTGTATTCATGGTAGAGAATGAGGAGGGAAAGAAGCAGGTACTCAAAATAACTCTTATAAAACACAGTACAGATAAGAGCACAAAACCTTGCAACCGCCACGTAAGACGAAGCCTATGTCCCCAGAAGCTTGTCTGCTGAGACGGCCCCCCTTCCATCTGGATGCCCTTTGGTCCGGGTCCCCTCCGCCCTTCCTGCAGAACCGCGTGACAACCAGCACGTGGAGGGGCTGCTGGGGGCTGTGCTGGGCTGGCCTCGTCACTCAGGACAGGCACCGTCCTCACTCCCGCTGCCCGGGCAGGCATGGATGAGGAGATGAAGCAGAAAGATCCCACCCCACTGCCCAGTGCTCTCTCTACACACCTGTTAAATGACAGTCCCCTGGGCAAAACTGCCAGGAGAGGGACAGGGAGGGGCCACAGGAGCCGCCCTGAGTATGTGCTGTGTGCTGCGCTGAGCCAGGGCAACCCTGCAACACTGACCATTCACAGTGGCCGCCCAAGTGAGTCTGCCCCAAGCATGGCGGGACGAGCGGTGTCAGCTGTGTCAGGCCTTCTGACATGTGGTGTGGCAGGGCTTGAGGGTTTTTTTTGGGGGGGGGGGGGGGTTCTCCTGACACCTCAGCTCCTGACACCTCCCCAAGGCCCTTGCCTGGGGCCCAGGTTCCCATGACTCAAGGCAATAGGACTTGCCTCAACCAAACCACAGTGGCTTTCGAACCCATCACAGCTCTACCATGGGCAGAGCAGGCCCATGCGTGGGGAGAGCAGGTCGAGCCAGTGGAATTAAGAACCAAGGGCCTTCTAAGCAGTTTCTTTGCAAAAAAAACCCTGGCCATTTCAGAGGGCTTCCTTGGAGCACAAAGTCGTGTAAGTTGGGAAGCGCTTGTTCTGAGAACGGAGTGGCCTGGCCCTACACATCAGGCCCTCGGAGTTCAGACACCGCAGCTGGAAACCATCTCCTGGAGAAGAGCCACCTGCCTGAGGCACCGAGGACCCTTCCGCCAGGAGGGCGCTGTCCAGCCCGGGCTGCACACCTGGCTGGTGGCCCTGGTCTGCACCCCTTCCCAGCAGTTCTTGGCAGCGTTAGAGCAACAAGGAGGAAAACTTTTAAAGTCTGTGCTGGTGGAGAAGGAGAGCGGGAATGAGCAGGGAGCTGGAGAGGTTTGCAGGAAGACGGTGGGTAGAGAGGAAGGAGAAATGCAAGGCTGGGGGGCCTGGCCCCATCCCACCCGGGGCCCTAGGCCTGGAAGGGCTGGGATGGCGGCGAGTAGGCTCCTGACAGCACACCTCCGGGGCACCCTCCGCGCCGTGTCTGTAGGAAGAGCACCCGTGGCGTGGACGGTAGACGGCCAGTGAGGCCATTGAGGGCCTTTTATGGACGTCACAGTTTGTGCATGGACTTTCCTGGGGAGGGAGAGGGGCTGCAGCTCCGGTCAGGCAGTCCCAGGCCCTGCCGTGAGCAGCACTGTCTCCTGGGGCTGGGGCTTGAACCAGAGGCTCCCGCCGGCCCCTCCGCACCGCGGGAGGCCCAGCTCCGTCCCTGGGCCGAAATCTCAGGACCAAGTGAAGGAACGAGGCAGAAACTCCTGCTGAGGCCGAGGCCTGGGCCGGGGAATGGGTTTAACTTGCGCCCGGAGAGAACGGCTGTTGGTGAGCGCTGCCGTCCAGCAAGACCTGCTCTGGAGGTCTAGTCCCTGCGGAGCCCGAGCCAGATTAACAGCCGGTCTAGAGAGCTTACAGCCCGGGCCAGCCAGCCCTCCCTGGAAGAGGGAGGAGGTTGTGCTCACCACCCTGACTCAGGGAGCTGCGGGGTGGCAAGGACTGGATCCTGCCGGCTGGAGGGCAGATCCCGGGGGCCTGTGCTAAGCTCCCTGGTTAACCGAAAGGCAGTGTGGGGGTGCCACGGTGGGATCGCTCTGCGCCAGCCACCGCCTTCCCCCCACCCCCTGCCCCCCACAGCGCACAGTGTACACACTGCCCCCCAGCCTGCTGCCCAGAAACGGGTGCCTGAGGCTCCTCAGCAGCTCCCAGCCTGAAGGTGCTGAGCCTGTGGGGTGCGGACTGTGCAATGGCTGGGCACGGGTGTGGGGAGGGCCGCAGTCTCCATAGTCCTGCAGGAAGAGCTGCCCTGCCTGCCAGTGCTGTGCCCTCGGGGCAGCTCGGCCGGCCGGCCGGGAAGAGCAGCATCCGAGTGAGACAGAGCTCCCCCCGCCCCCTGCTCCCATGCAAAGCCTCTTGCTCTTCACATGTGTCTGGGCACTGTGAGCCCGCGGGGTCCGGCCCTGGCTGGTGGGAGGCCTCCTTACCTGGACAGCTCTGTGTGGAGGGAGCACGTGTCACCCAGAAGCACGTCAAGGCCATGCAGACTTGCTAGCAAAGACAGGAGACAGTTAGAGACAGACGAGGGGCTGGCCAGCACCCCAGGGGGAGCTGGGAGAGGTGGCGAGACTCAACAGGGACACACTGTGCCAACCACTCAAAAGACAAAGGCCCAAACCTGAATAATGGGGCTCCAGGACAGGACTCTAGCAGGGGTGACACTGGCACCCCGTCCTGCTGTTCATGGCCAGCTCAGCGCTGACAGCCGCTGCTGGGGGGTGCGGGTGGGGCGGCTGTGCATGGCCACAATCCTCTTGGACAGCATTAAAGCAGTGTTTTTATTTTTAAATTAAATATGCACCTGGCTCTCAGTAATGGGCCAGGCACTTGTTCGAATGAACCAATATTAACTCATTTAATCCTCACACGAACCTATTAGATATTACCATCTTGGCTCCAAGAGCACAGCCAGTAAGAGGCAGTCTGAGTCCAGGCTCCGTGCTCTGAACAATGACCCCGAGCTGCTTTTCGATGGGGTGAACATGAAAACTTCACAGTTTTCCATATCCTTGACCTAGACATATCTCCTGTGAGAATTTATCCCATGGATCACCCAGCATCACCCAGGAGGCGCTCACAGGTGGGACTGCTGGTGCAGTGCTACAATCTAAAGAGACAACTGTGAGGAGAGAGCGACTTCAGAAGCCGTGGCACGCCGCGGAGCGGACACAGGCCTGTGCACCCCTCCCGCGCTCCCAGCACCTGCCACAGCACGCACCCGGGGGAGAGGAGCGGTCCTGGGTTACGCGGAGGCTGACAGGACCCAGCGAAGGCGCTCACGTACTCTGATCTCTTTTAATCCAGACACTGTGCCTTTACGAGTCCAGTTTTACAGAGGAGCAGCGCGGGCAGGCGGCACGGAACAGGGCAGAGCCGGCTTGAGGGTGCACACCGCCTGCTCTCTCCAGGCCACGCGCTCAATAGGCGCGGGGCTCAGGGGGGCCCTTGTTATGTAGGCATGCGGCTGCCCAGCCTCTGGACCGCCTCCACTTACCTCCATGCGGGAGTTTCTCTCTGCAAGAGTCAAGTTTATTGTTTTGTTTTTTTTTAATCCTCACCTGAGGATATTTTTCCATTGATTTTTAGAGAGAATGGAAGAGAGAAGGAAAGACAAGACAGAAATATCAATGAGAAACCCATCAATTGGTTGCCTCCCGTATGAGCCCAGGCCTGGGCCCGGGCTGGGGCGGAGCCTGCAATCTAGGTACGTGTCCTTGACCTGGAATCAAACTCAGGACCCTGGTGCACAGGCCAACGCTCTAACCACTGAACAAACCGGCTAGGGCTAGAGTCAATAGTTTGACCTTTTTTAACAACAAAATTATACTGCAGGTACCAGAAGTGTCAGATACCAAAGGACCATAATCTGGTATCAAAATCAGCCTTTACCTGATCACCTAGAGAAAATTATCTTAAATGTAGAAAAAAATTAATTTATTGGAAGCTATGTGCTAGACACTTTTCAGTGTGCTGCATGTACTATCTCATTTAATTCTCATACTGTTAAAATAGGAACTCTTTTTGTTCCCACATGAACGGAATCAGGGGTGTTAGCAGACGGCCCACGCTCTGGGCAGTGTGGTCGATAACACAGGAAAGCAGTACCCGCAGGCCAGGGTCTCAGAGGCTCGCACCCACACTCACAGCCCTGGGAGCTGCTCCGAGGAGAAACCGCGCACCTTGCGGTTCCATCCACAGCCTGGCAGGCCCGGGGCCTTGCCGCCACGCCTGCCCCTCACAGCCTCCTCGGACTTCGAGCTGCTTGGCTCACGCCAACTAACCAAGCTGGTCAGTCCCCAGGAGGGCACACGCCCAGCACTGGCCTCCAGGTCAGTCACGGAGGGAGCGGGTGGGCGTTGTAGCTCCCAGTGGAGGGCAGAGCCTGCAGAGCCCTCTGGTGGCGGGCGTTTGGGTAACGGTGAGAAGACAGGGCCCTTTGGTTTGTGCTGTGAAAACTCATATCCCAGCATGAAGCCAAGCCCAGTCCCCAGGGCACTGGACAGCACCCCCTTCAGGACAAGCTGTCCGACACCCGGGCACTAGGCCTCCATGAAGCCTGCCCCAGACCATGGCGAGGGAAGGCAGGTCCCGCACCAAATGGCACCGGGCGTGCGGCGCTCAAGCACCGGCCCTGCCTCTCGCCCAGCACTCGGACCCGAGCTGAGCTGCGGATGGATGAAGGGGCCCCGCCTCTGACCTGTGAGGCTTCCAGTTCAGGAAGTGAACCCTCGCGTCCTTGGAGTGGGTGGGGTGCGTGCAGAGTGACTCCCCACAGGAGCCCCTCACGTGCTCACTGTCTTCTCCCGGGCAAGGTGCTATGGGGCGAACTATATCCCCCACGTTCCTGAATGGAAGCCCTGAACCCCAATACCGTAGAACAGGACTGTTGGAGACAAGCCTTTAAAAGGTGAGTATGTTAAAATGAGGCCATTAGGATGGTGTCAGGAGAAAAGCAGGACAGACAGAGGACCCCAGGGACGAGGGCATGGAGGGGCGTCGAGAAGCCAGCCCTGCGTGGTCTGGGCCTCCAGCCCCCGAGCCGTGAGTGGGACGGGACGCTGCTGTGGCTCCCGCAGCCCGGTTGGGAGGACTCTGCTATCACAGCCCCAGCCGACGGACACTGACAGTCCAACTCAGAATGTCAGTAAGTGAACACAATAAACCTAGATTATTTGGTTAATACTTTTAATTACACTGTTATAATTATACAGTTTCCACTCTTCAATATTTTGTATAAAACCAGTTACAATTCACATATTTCAAATGCAACAATACATATCGAACTACATAGATATGCAAAGTTTACACGCCATTATGAAGCTTTATCTTAAAAAATACCTTCAGGAAAATAAACATTCATTCAACCAGTTCTCTCAGCTTTATAAAATGTGGTTAGAAATATACATTTTAATTTAAAAAAATCAAGACAATGATTGACCAAATACTGATTCATCAGTTACATTTTAAAACTTTTAGTAATCTGTCCATGAGTGCAGGTTAGATAAAAGTATGCAGATTATTAATATACAACCGCAGCACTATGCCAGACGAAGCTACCTGCTGACATTTAACGAGGCGGTCGAGGAGGTAATGTCCTTCAGCGCAGGCGAGCGGCCGCGCCCGCAGTGCCCCCGGACGTGGAGAAGCTGACCCGGGTGGGAGAGCAGCAGCCAGCCTCACGGGACAGCGTTAGTGGGAGGCAACCGTTCAAGAATTAGAGTCGGTTTTAAAGTTGTTTTTGAGGAGCACTGCTCTCCCGATACGACACTTACTGTTTAAAATGCTCGAAGAGAAGCAGTTAAGCCCCTTTTAGAACAAACATCAAAGGAGCGCGTGGCTCACTGGTCAGGACAGGGACGCAGGCGGAGGACGGGGCCCAGCACGGCCCAGCCAGGGCGGTGCCCAGAGGAAACCCTTCGTCTTGTGAGAGCACAGGGAACGCCTCTCAATCTGTCTGGGCCCCAGAGAAGAGGCAGAAATCCCCGCTGGGAGGGGAGGAGGGCGGGTCAGGAAGTGGGTGGGTGACAGGCTAAGGGACTCAAGTTTGAACAGAAGGTTCTGGAGACCCAAGGAGCAGGGAACCGCTGCCCTGGCCCAAGGCTGCTCACGCACGGGCCAGACTCCGAGCTTCCTCAACACACAACAGAAGCCTGTCTGCACTCTGGGGGCGCCGTGGTGCAGACACCTTCCTTTGGACCGCCCTGACTTTGTCCCCAGACACTTCAAGGGCACCTAAAAATACTCATTTCTACTTTTAGTTCCACTGAAAACTGTTCGGTGTACGTTCAAAGCTACTTAAGGCTCTTAAGTGAAAGGACTCTCCCAATCAGACAAGCCGTTTCATATTCCATAGCAACAGGGTCTCCTGTAACAAGGGCTCAGCAAGAGAGCCTGAGTCGGGGTGCTGACGGCTCAGTTGGGGGTGGGGTGGAGATTCGTAGCCAGGCCTTCCCACCCGTCCGACCCAGACACTTCCTGGATCCCAGATCTCTCTCAGAAGTTTGACGCTGTGGCCATGTCCTTTGTGTTCCAAATCACTGGTTTCCTGTGACTAATCTCAGGGGCAAGGCTGTTAAACACAAGGATTTTTAGAAAGAGCCACAGGGATAGCAATTCTAACTGGAAATGTGAGCAGCCAACACAAAAGGCAACGAGTAAAATGAAAAGTGCTGAGGTTGACACTGACGCCCACACTGTTCACTCTTGGCCGAGACACCAAATGGCTTCCTCTCTGAGGAGGCAGCACACTGACTTGTTCTGAAGTAATGAAAAGCCAAGCCAGGCACGGTTCAGCTGGGAATTTGATTTTCACAACTGCCTGGACGATTATGCAGGAGGCGGCCTTTAAAAGTATGAAGGGACGAAGAGCTGCCCTGAGAATGCAGTGCTTCTGCTGGGCGGGCTGAAACCTAGCATTGTCTCCCAGCACCAGGCAGCAGTGGAACACTGCTTCTCCCACCCAGAGCTCACTGGGAAGCCGTCTCCCACCAGGGGAGTCTGTCTATGAACTTCCAGGGGCAAAACCCCTCCATTTTTCTGAGATCTAGTCCCCTGGTGTGTAAATGCAGGCGTGGGCAGCCCCCGCAGCGCCTGATGGGGAAGAACTGCTTGTTTGGCCAAAACAACGGCATCTCCCATGTCCCCTCAAAGCCAGTCGACCCCCCCAATTACTCTGAGAGGAAATACCAAATGGAGCAAGGCCTCCGGCTACTTGTGCATTCACAGACTTTATTTCTACCAACTACTTCTTAGTCCTCATCCTTCTGTTTAAAAGGCAGCTTCAAAAATGGAACTGCCTACTGACCTGACTCATTCATCTCGCAAGGTGAAGGCATTCCCTTTCAGGACTGTATCCCCACCCCCCACACCAGGAGAGGCCGACATTGGCTAACAGGAACTAAAACCATTCACTTCAAAATATTTTGAAAAATATTCTCTTATTTTGGGCCATATTTATATTTTAGCAGCAAATAAACTTTTTTGTGTGTGATTGCTTTGCATCAGACTCCGCTGCGCTGCTGCAGGGGGGAGGAGAGAAGGCACTCTGCAGAGCTGATTCCCTAACCGAAGGCCACAGTGAGGGTCTTAGTACAAACTGAAATCCAGATGTGAATACTGTCGCTGAAATCCATCATGCTACAGAGAAAGGCCCTAATAAAACAGTCAGCTTCTTTAAGCGCCCAGTATGTGGGATCACTGTTTCCAAGGAGAAGTGTGGGTTTTTCATGCTCTGAAGGAAATACGGTTTTAATTTGTATGACTCGGCAACCAAATAGTGGGCAGCCTTGGAATTCTTCCTTCCCCAAATAACACCAAAGGCATGACTCCACGTCCGCCGGCCGAGGCCAGCTTCCCCTCCCGAGTCTGTGGCTGCTGCCCAGGCGCCTGCAGGTGCGAGGTCACGGCGCCCACGTGTCCGCACGCAGAGCTCACACGGCCCCCGGGATAAAGCACTCTGGTGGAACGCGAGCAGCTCGGGGCTTACCAGGCCACGTTACAGTGTCACAAGCATTAGGGTGAAGAGGATGACACCAAACAGAATCCATCATCGAGGACCGTTTCAGCAAGGCCTGCTCCATCTCTGTACATTCGGGCACAGGGCGAACAGAAAATAAACAGGCGAAAGGCCTCCGGCAGACCTGTCCTCCGAGGCCAGCAGCGAGCGCTGCCACCACAGGGACACACGCACCAGCGCCAGCTCCCGCCGCGCGGCCCTGGCGCTTACACCTGAGACGACGTGTGCAGCAGCTGCTCGACGTGGGCGCGGCTACGAACGAACGGCGAGCCGACCGTCCTCCAGTCCCACTTGTTCCCAAGCCCGGGCAGCGATTTAAACTCCAGGGGGCAGTTTCTTCACTGAACCAGCTTCTTAGGTGGAAAGCAGCTAAGGCTTTTGCAATTTTGTTTAGTTTCCAAATAAATTGTGCTAAGTCCTGATGTGGTTCTGTTCCCAGTCTTCCTTCAGTTCTGGTCACAGGTTTCTACTTAACGCAACACTGTCTTAGTCCTCGAAATGGGGGGACTACGGGAGAGAGAAAAGGACTTTACCATGAAGGTTCTCAAGTGTCGCACAGGCAGTTATTAAAGACAAGGAAGGCCACGTAATAAAAAATACTGACATGCTAAAAAGTACACACTTTGTGTAATTCTTTAATGACAAATACTTTGGAAGACAGTACAATACCAACCATAAAGACAAACAGGAGAGAAAGGCAAAGCAGAAAAAGGTTCAGTTCTGCAAAAAATAAAAAGAAAAACAAAACAATAAAAACACAATAAGAGGGGGTGGGGCAGAGGCAGAGGCAGCGGAGCAATGAGAGTACCATAATGCCATTAGGGGCATTTGCTGCAAAGCACTCCTTTTCCTTCTTTCCCTCTGAGGAACCAGGCTGTGGGAAGAGCGAAAAGAACGAAAAGATAAAGAAGTGTTACTCGGTTATTCCCAAAGCCAGGATCCGGTCACAGAACGGTGGGCGCCACAGGCAGCTTCCAGCTCAGCCCAGCGCAGTGCAGCCCTCAGGGGCCGCCTGGCACCGGCGCCAGAACCACCCCGGGCTGCCCCCAATCACTGCCCTTGATTCATCCTCACGCTACCTCCCTAGCTTCCTCCCACAATTTATTACCTTCAGCTAAATAGCAGCTTTCAGAGAAAAACTAATGCAAAAGCAGAGTCAGAAAACCAATTCCGATCTGGAGGCCGGCTCCACCAGAGCAGCCCACGCACGCCCGTCAGGGTTCTCAGAGACCAGACGGCGGCGCAGAGCTGAGGCGGAAGGTCCAGGGCTGTTCGCAAGGGGAAAGCATCTGGAATTTCAAAGGGAGATTAATGTCGTAAAAGGGTCACCAGCATTTAAACACAAGAACACAGACATAACATCCTGGCCTTCTACACGGATGCACGTGTGGAGATGGTAATAACAGAAAATGAAAGCCCTGAGGTGGTGAACAGCCACTGGGCCTGAGGCGCTGACGGACCAGAAGCAGGGACAGGTGACGATGGCAAGAATCACAAATGAGAAGACTTAACCCAAAAAGAAAGAGGAAGCCCTCAAGCGAAGGGCGGCGAAGAGCATGGTTTCAGGGTCGAGGGAGGAGCCCTCGCGGCAGGATGATGGGGCCCGGGGTCCCCCAGAGCAATGAGCATTCGGTAGGTTTGGCAGGTGGAGCAGAAAGTGAGGGTCCCCAAGGATGCAACCTGGAATAGAAAACCCCTTTTGCACCTGCAGTTTTCTTAGAAAATGGATGAAGTTATGACTTAAAAAAAGAAATCGCGCACCCAGCGGGCGAGCCGCGCAGCCGGGAACTGAAGGTCAGTGAGGAGGGTCCTCACGCGGCCCAGGTGGCGACCTGCTCCAGACCCTCCGGAGGCCTCCAGCGAGTTAATGCCAGGCCCCGGGGAACGGACCAACTCTTCGCTGCATCTGAGAGCGACATGAAGGTGGTCTCTAGCTCTGACAGGAGGCGGGATGCAGAGCGCTCTAAGGATGGGGTGTCTGGTATCTGCTCCTTTAACATGTCTGTGGGAGATTCTCCCGCATTGTAAATTGTCAGACGCCAGGAGAGCCGCAGCAGTGGGCAGTGCGTGCGGGAGGTCTCCTCCAGAGCCTCTAAGAACAGAACAGGACAGGACAGGACAGAACAACGTGGGAACGAAGCCAAGCTCCTGCTGCTGGGACGGCGAGAACAGCACAGACCTGCAGGAGAGAAGGCGGGCTCCCGCCGCGGGCAGGCCGGCGCCGCGAGGGCACGCATGAGCCACTCTGAAACCTGTGCTACTCTTTCCATATTGTTGTCTAAGGAAAGAATCATCTCAGCTCATATTATTCTGCCCAAATCGGATTACATACAAATGTATCAATTCCTTCACCATCCTCCAATCAGAAGCCAACGCTATTCAGTAGGTGAAGCTTCTGGCTGTAGCTCGGCTGCCATCGCTTCCTGGAAGCTGGGAGAGGGGCCTGCACATGATGTGTTTGTCCTTCTTTGGTGAGCAGGGGACTCAGAGGTGACCTAGCACCAGCCCACGCCCTGCAGGAGGCCAAGGAGACCCCGCCAAAGGGGGTGGTGGAACACAGCGAACCCCAGTGCGCCCTCACTGGTGCCCTTCCCTGCCCCTCCCTACCCGGAAAGTCCATCTCATAAAATTAAAAGAAGACTTTGTGCTCCTCAGCGCTCTCCCAGGTGCCTGGACACGGCCTTGGGCCGTTTCAATGGTAAGTCAGGCACCTCGGTCTGAACTCGACCTCAGACCCTCCGAGCCTCGGTCCAGGGACTGGGGAGGTGCTCCCTGCACAGGCGGCACCTCTGTGAGAAGCACACGTTTAGGCCACTGGCCACGCCCTCAGCGGAGAGGGGGGCAGGTGCACCCGCCCCGGCTCCTGGTCTCTCCCTGAGGCCTGCAGCGCACCATCCAAAGCAGCCGAGTGAAGGGCCCGACACCCGGGCGGCGAGGGCTCCTGAGCCACGACCCGCAGAGCCCGGGCATTCGGACACGTCCGACTACCACCAACAGCTCCCTATTTGGACTTTTAACAGTTAATTCACCTAAAAGTGTCCAAGTTAAAACACTCCCATTTCACTCCATTCACTGTAGAAAAGTTCAGAAAAAAGCAAATGATTAAAAAAAAAATCCTCAACTGTCCTAACTGCTAATATCTTGGCATATTTTCCTTTATCTTATTTCAAAATACACAAATTGAAATATAAACATTTATAAATATTTGTTTGTAAATATTTATACATCTATAGGTTTCTATGCATATATATAAAGTATATCGTACATTTATAAAATTGGAAAATAGTTCATAATAATTGTGCATAGCTCTTTTCATTTATTGCTTTGTGAGCACTTATCCAGATCATTAAATTTTCTTTAAAAACATGATTCTAGATACTCATTTGGTATAATTCATCAGTCTTTAGACCATTTCCTCCTCCTTACTGTCATATAAATAACATTCTGCTTTTATAATGTACTTAAATCTTTGGATTTGGTCAGTAATTCTCTAATATTCTTCTTATGTAGAATTAGTATGAATATCTGATACCTTTCTGATGAAAAATGTAAAATCCTAAAATCATGAGTCAGTGCCCAATTCTCAAACACTCGTATGGGACACAATCACATTCTCCTATGGTAAAAGCACGCAGGAGAGCTGTCCAGAGAGACTGGCAAAGACGGAGATGGCAGAGCTGAACAATTCCTTCAGGAAGGAACACGCATGGAGCGGCTGGTCACCAGCCAGTGCTCAGCACCCGACGGCTGCGCCCCCCAGCGCCTCGCTCAGCACCTCGGACGGCACCGCGGGCCCAAACCCCAGGCCCGGGCAGAACAATGAAGAAGCAGCACGACATCTGTGCAGGATGCTGTAGGGAAGCCGGGAGCGCACCAGGCCAGGACCACGGCTGCCCCCTCCAGGCTCCGTCACACAAGCATGGAGCTGCCTGCCGTCCGCTCCCGGGAGGACGCCGTGGGCTGCCTGCTCCTCCCCCAGAGGGACCTGGTCATAGAATACGGTCATGACAGAGCTGAGGCAACAGTGAGCAGCGGCTGCGGCTGCAGAACATGCCCCTCTCCCTTCAGTAACGAGGGGAAGATGCTGGGCTCAGAGGAAAAGGGGGGCCGCGTGGCTGTGGACTGTGGCCAAGGTCAGTCCCCGAGTCACGAGGGATCGCAGCCCCACTAAGCTCGTGTGTCCACCACACTTTTGTGCAGCGAGCTCTCCAACAATCCTGCAGCCCCTGCACGCAGAGGGTCCCCCGAGTCTGGCAGGGAGCCTTGGGAATTCTTAATTGAGAACTTACAACAGGCTCACCTTGCCCACATTATGACCCAGGGACCACGTCTCCGGGGTTGAGCATCGTTTTTGAAAAACAAAAGTAAACGAAATCCTGCATTAAAACGGTCCCGATTTCCTTGGACGACCAACACACCAAACACATGCGGTTAATTCCCCATCACAGGGCTCTGCCTTGGCCTGTCTTCATTCCTATCCCCAGAAGGTGAAACTGGGCACACAATGCCTGGAGCTTTTCAGAAGAGTCAGATTCTTTTCTCACCTTTTAAAACTGCTTTTCCTTGAAGCAGATCTGGTCGTTCTCTTAGCAATGCCTGCACTGCCAGAAATGCTAGGTTCAGATGTGTTACAGCTCTGAACACTGGACTGAAGAATTACTCTGAAAACAGTTGGAAAAAATAAGATTATATCACTGAACAATTTCCAAATACTTGACACAGGAAGGCATTGTTGCACCTGAGTGCAAATGATCTGATGGAGAACTGGTAGGATTTTCCACAAACACGTTTACATCGAGGTCTTTTGAAATGAAGCATCTCATTTCCTTATGAAGGTTAGTTACACAAAGATAAACAAATGACCTGGCATTTCAACAAGCCCCACAACAAAGAATCAATCAGCAAAGCAAATGTTTGTGTCCCAAGTAAAAGTAAATCCTCAGAATTCCTGTTATGAAAACAAGAAATCATTTAAACCCCCCAAATTCTATAGAACGTGAATATAAATATCTAGACAATATTCACTCCTCAGAGCTGAGAGTTAAGGGCAATAAACCCGGGATCAATACCAATTTCACATAAGACTTCACATTTTAAAACCATGTTCAAGCAATATGTGAGTTTTGTTCGGATTACAACTACTTACTAAATCACCAAGTACCATTAACAAGAAAGTGAAACTGCTTAAATTCTGTGATACTTGATTTAATTAAACTATGAGACCCTCCAGGAGGCGATGCCACGGGGTAAATTATACGGAGGCAAATTCATGAATGAGAAAGAACTCCCTGAGATCAAGCCACCGTGCAGGTGGAGGTGTTTGTATTCCTCACTCCGTTGTCACAGGGAAAACATCAAAAGACTTTATGCACATTGCTTTTCTTCAAGAGACCAAAATGCTCAAATGTATGCCCCCCATTTAGAAAAAGTACTCAGTGTTATTTCTAAGAGAAAACACTGGCTTGAAAAAGCTTCCTGCTCTCCTATGCAAACATAAATAACACAGCCAATAACAACGGACTTGGACCCAGCTCTTAAGAGAAAGAAACCATACCAGCCCAGCCGGTGTGGCTCCGTGGCTGAGCACTGGCCCCTGAACCAAGAGGTCGCTGGCTCCCGGTCAGGGCACATGCCCAGGTTGCAGGCTCCATCCCTGGTTGGGGGCATGCACTCACTAATGAGCCAGTGCTAGATTCAGGACTTCTCAAGTTTTACCTCCTAAATGTTGACTGTGCTGGCATATGCAGACAGTTGTGCGATTAAAGACACCCACTGCCCTGGCACATGAATTCTATGCCTGAAAACAAAGGATTTACTTAAAGTTTTTCTGATTACGTAAAGGAGTGTCTGTCAAAGATGTGAATCTAGAATCTAGAATTTTTCATAAAGAAAAAATAAAACAACAAAAACCAGCCAAGGGTGCTCCCTGCGCAAGGCGGTTTATCTCCATTTCCACAAACGGAGAAAGTGAGACACCTACTCCTCAAATGAGGCCACTTACAGCCCAAAGTACGGACAACTACCACACCGTCCAATCGTTAATGTGAGGAAAAACACGGGCCGATGCATCGCCCGCTTAGGAAATTTGAGATCTGATTTCTTAAATTAACAATACTATTCAAGACAAGAAATGACCGCTAAAGCAAATTTTAGGCTGGCAGGGAAGTTACTTGTTTTTTAAAAAGTATTTTAAAGTATCTATCAAATTAGTGTAAATAATTAATGTGAATTAATATAATAATATTAATAACTAATAACTGATGTGGAACTTTGAAATAGAGCACGGTAGACATTTAGAATGCATTAGTCACACTAATAAAGATTCGGGCCACCAGCTATTTGCATTAACAACAGAGCAGCTCTTACACCTGTAGATTATGCATCAATGAGGAGGGAAAACCCAGCACCTGCACTTAGACATTACCTGTGAGAGCTGCCAGCACCACCTGGCAGGGGATAGGCTGGCAGACTGCCAAGGTAAGCGAGAAGGAACCACTCCCACCTTCAGACCAATCACGTGACCTTGCGGAGCACTAGGCAGCACACGCACCTTCTTCTCCCCGCCCTCCCCGGCAGAAGCCGCTCTGGCCCACACTGCAGTTCCCTTTCCTCTCCGCGGGATCTCCCCCAAGTTTGGACATGACATCTGCAACTTGAGGAATATTGTAAAGTAAAAACTATCAAGCCACAAAAGTGCCTTGAACATAAACATTCAATTCCAAGAAAAGAATCCATCAGTGCAACTATGTACTATTTACACTGGCTGTCGACCACGGATGCCAAACGAGCTTTCGAAACGATGGGCCGGAGCCCTGCAACTCCGGACGCATCTTCCCACCAAGAGTCTGACGCAGCAATCTGAGGGGTCCATGGCATCGCCAGCTCCAGGCACGCCACCAACTGCCCGCGAGCAATCGCCTCAAACACAACTACGAGGACTCTATCTGTTTACCCCATCGTTACCCCTGAAAGCTTTGATTTCTGTAAATTCCAAGTTAATCCTTCAGGCTGAATGGATACTCGGCTGTGGGTCTAGTGCAACGGTGAGTGTCAGTAATAACAGAGAAAGGCTGCGCCTTCCCAGACGGTAAAGAGAAGAGAGCCTCATGGAGCCCATTTAAAGTTCCCTGGGAAATAAATAACCAAAGCGCCTGAGCACTGTTGGCAGCGCCGCACCCATTTGGAGCTCCTCTATTCAAGGCAGCTTTGCCGCTGGAAAACCACCGGGAAGGGTCGTCTATATTGGAAACACAGTGTCAGCCTATGCGACAAGTTCGTATTTAATGACACATTTTAAGAAAAGGTCACAAATAGAAACACGTTAAGCAGCTTTTCCTTAATTTTGAAAAGAAGGAAGTCTGCTAGGTTTCACAGTCTTTCCCCGCCATCTGACGACACTCAATGAAACCATAAAACATGAGTGGTGGTGGCCATGAAACTTTACTTTGGAGGAAGTCCTAGTAGGAACTTTTTTATTTCTTAATAAAACTCCCAGTCCAAGTGGGAACAAGAAGAGAAATCCTTGAATGAGCTAAAGAAAGAATGTCAGAGAATAAGGAAGCAGCCTGGCCGGGAGAGGGCGCGTTTCGGCCGCCGCCAGGGCCCCGCCGGGCCTGCGCTGGTCCGGGCTGGGATCCCGGTGAGCTCCTGCCCGTTCTTCTGCAGGAAAGACGTCTCTTCTCGGGCACAGGACTCACTTAAGGGTGAGAGGTGTCCAGAGAACAGAGTCTGTCCACGTCACCCTAAGAAAGGCATTTTGGTTGCTTTCGGGGAAAGAAGGAAGGCAGGAGCAGCGCTGGGCATGCAGAAACACAAACACAGACAAGACTCCAGTCTTCGCTGCTTCCCTCCGTCCAACACCCAGTTCTGAGCACTGCCCGTGGCCGAGGGGAGGCAGGGAAGCAAGGTCCAGGAGAGAGTCCGCAAACTCAAGACAGAGACTCGCTGGGCAGCAGCTGCTGCGAGAGGCGTGTGTCCGGCCTCCAGGCCTGGCTACAAAGTCCGATTTTTACCAACAGGAGAAAATCAGCGCGAAGCTTACTTTTGCTAGATTGGAAAGGATATGCTAAAAATATTTACTCTAGAAACTAGAGAAAAGTTGTACAGACAAGTAATGGAAAGAAAAGCACCCCAAAATAACTGAACATTTTTAAGGGGGAAAGAAACTGCTACTTCAAGAAATCTGTTAAGAGTCAGCACAACTTAAACACAAAGCCAGTGGCTAAGCATCAACTCAGGAGCCAAGGATCGCAGTTCGATTCCCAGTCAGGGCACATGCCCGGGGGCGGGCTCAATCCCCAGAAGGGGCCCTGCAGGAGGCAACCTATTGATGATTCTCTCTCATCAGTGATGTTTCTATCTCTCCCTCTCCCCTTCTCTGAAATAAATACATTAAAAAAACAAAAACAAAAAAAATCAAAGTGTGTTGTTTTTACTGTCCCTTGTATGAAAAGAATAGTGAAGGCCCCCCCCCCCCGCCACCACACCATGAGTTGAGTTTTCGGAAAAGGACCTTTGAGAAAAGGCAAATCAATAAAGCGAGGAGAGCTGCTAGTGACAAAAACATGCATCATGGGAATCGGCAGCAGTGAGCGAGGAGAGAAATGGGTGGGACACTTACACAGCAGCTATGTGTCAAAGGGTCCGATGGCTACTGTGCTCTTAAACCATCGAGACAGAATAGCAGGATGGGAAGAATGTAGTCACAAACAATCCACCAGATGACAACACTACACAGTGCAGAGGTCAGCACAGCTAGGGAACATCTGGAAAGGGGCGAAGGGAAAGAACAGATGTTCAAACTGAGAAGCCAAAATAAATAAAACAATAAATAAATGAAGCCACGTGTAAATTTTAGACACCCTGTGATGATGCGAAAGGGTGGGAAACAAGGATGGAGTTTTGCTATATTATGTTGGAAAAAAAGGCTGTCTGGCCCTGGCCAGCATGCTCTGTGGTTAGAGTGTCCGGTGATCCCCGGTCGAGTGCATGTGCGGGAGGCAACCAATTGATGTGTCTCTCTCACATCGATGTTTCTCTCCCTCTGTCTCTCCCGCACCCTTCCACTCTCTCTAAAAATTAATGGAAAAATATCCTCAGGGGAGGATTAACAACAACAAAAATGCTGTCTTCAGTATTAAACTAATTTGACACTTGGTAAGAACAGAGCAGGCCCAATCTTTAGTTCATTAACTGCCCATGTTAATGTAATTGTATGATACAGAAATCAAAGCTGTTGTTATAGGGTTGAAATTCTTCAAAAAGCACGATATGCACACACAAAAAACTGAACCAACCCAGAGGGGGAAAGGAGGCAAAACCAACCAACTGATAACTAACAGCCATTCATCCCCTCGGAGGCACCATTGGAAGCAGACACAGCATAGTGGGGCTGCTCTCACTGCAATGGAACCATATTCTGTATCACCCAGGAGGTGCGTATCCTGAAAACAAGGGTTGCAGAAGTACAGGCAACCCAGACAACATGACAGAAGACAACTATCCTTACGAACTAATACAGTAAGTCCTCACTTAACATCATCGATGATTCTGCAACTGTATGCAAAACAAAATACGACAAAACCAATTTTACTGCAGACTAATTGGTATTAACAAAAGTTAATCTCCTACAGCATCTCATCAGTGTTATGAACAAAGTGACGTTACTGGAGGACCCGCTGTACTGTACACATTTCCTTTGTTGTTTTTCTCATGCAACTCAACTCGGCTTTCAGCTTGGTGTTTCTCACTCCCCTGTCTGGCTTCCAGCAGTGAGGCAGGGACCTCCTCACAGCTGGGAGGGTGGCAACTCCTTCCAACTACATTTCCAAATGGTCACCGACACATCTGTGACCAATAACAAAATGCTCCATTGAGTCTTTGCTTTGTGCAAACTATTGGGCACAAACTATGAGGACTGTACAGACATCGTCATCAATGTCTGTCACCTTAATCATTGAAGACCAGGTGCCAGGCCCAGGCATCCTATGTGGGCGTGAACCAAAATCTAGACCACACTCTCTCACTTACTCCTGCCAGCAAAGAAAAACCAAACCAAACCTGCTGCATGGTAAGGTGACAGGCTTAATAGTTACCCAGAATGTAATCAGTGCCTTGGAGCACTACTGGACCCCACCAATCCCAATGTTCATGTGTAGTTACTGACGTAACAGTTATCTTAAAGGCAGAATGGCCCGAATGTCCAGGTGTCTGCCGTATAGATCTTTATTTGCTCCTCTAATGAAGCTCCTGGCATATGAATTATTTTCCAGTGATGAAAAACACACCCGTCAACACTATACTGCTAAGGGGGCGTTAAGGCTTTTCAAGGCTAATGAGATCTATACTTTTGCATATTCCTGTGTAGGATACATTTCCCCTCTTCATGAAGCATCTCATTTAACCACAACAAACTAGCAGAAATGATCAGTATGCAGAAAGAGGCAGCACAGGGGAAGTTATCCAATCTACGGAATCTACTTGAGCACAGACAGCCATGTACTTGCCGTCATTCCCGACGATCGCCTCCAGGTCATGGAGCTACATGACCTACTGTCTTCATGGAGGGCAGGATCACACAGGCTTTCTGAGAAAATGACTATTTTACAATTTCTAATGACTTTCACTTTCCCCGAATACTGACTATAAAATAGAAACCCGGTAGTTGGAATGGTATTTTACATCCCATACCTTTCTCTTAAGGATCACATGTTTCTCACTAACTTATGATGAGTATTTTCATTTGGACTTAAGTGCCAATAGCAAAGAAAAATAACGTGCCCGCGGAGACAGGGGCGTCAGTCGGAAGGCGGGGACTGAATTCAGGTTTCTCAATCTAAACTGCAACTGGAAACTCTCTCAGGGGACTTTTCTTTCTAAAATAACAACAAAGACTTGGGAGGGGGAAAATCTCCAATTGATCTCCTTTTCTAGAGCCAAGAGAGCCACAAATAAGAGCAACAAAGAGATGATGTTACTCGGGTTTCAAAAAGCAGAGAGGGCGGCCAGGCTGCTGCCCAGGAGGGGAAGGGGCTGAGACTGACCAAACGTCCCAGGGCCTGTGTGCACAATGGGGGGGCTTTGGCCTTTTCCTTCAAAAGTGTGGCCTCTAAGCCTGCTAACTGTGCCTATGAGGGGGACAGTTTGGGGGCTATTCTATTATTTTTGGGTTATAATGAAAGGGGATCCTGAATTAGTTTTTTTTTATAACATTTGTAACTTTTACCATTTTACTTGGTTTTAATTTATACCAAGAGTGCTTCAGAGCAAAGGGACAGGGTCCTAGTTTGGCTTTGGGGTGAGGGCGAGGCTGGCTCCCCCTCCCCCGCCCTCACCAGTTCCTCATTCACCATCACTGAGCACCCTCAGCTCCCCCCAGGGCCTCAAACACCAAGGACAGAGGAATGGCATCTAGTGTCACCTTCACATCTAGGATGTCAGTCTTCATTTACTGTTTCTTTTACCACAAACCCATCAGCTACGAGAGACAGTTATGGCCTCGACTGTTCTGGAAAAGAGTGAGCTGAACTCTAGGCTCGGTGACAGGAAATTTCCCACAAGCCCTATTTAACAAAATATTGGACCAGGCAGAACTGTCATCCCAACTGGAGAAGGCAATAAGCTGTTGAGAAATAAACAGATGCTGCAAATTCTTAAAAACAATACAAAACACCCGGGCAGATGAAAAGCAGCCCAGAATCTCCCTTCCTGGGGCTTCCCACGCGTGGCCCTGGCAACGGCACCTGCCGCCCCGGGAAGCTTGCTGGAACGCAGAACCGCTGCCCCGCCCGCCGGGCCCAGCTCCCCCGGGCGGCTCGTGCACAGTGACGTCGGACAGGCTCTGCGTTGGGCACTGCCTGTTGCCTCCATCAGGTCTAAAATGGGCTTCAGTATAATTATTTGGAGGGACTATCATGTTTCTAAATAAAAATAACCCATAAAGCTTTAAATAAAGACTTTTAATGAAATTTAAAAAAATGGCACTTGGAAAAATTACATAAAATGTACAAGCATTCTAGTTGATGGCAACCCCATTGCAAAGATAATGCTTAAATGGTGCCTACAGTCAACACCGATGCCCTCCACTCACATAGCTCCTTATCCTGGAAAATTCTATTCTTCTCTTGGATCTCAGAAGGACGCCTGAGGCAGAGGCCCAGCACAACACGTGCCTCAGGGGCAAGTCTATGTGAGAAGTTAAGATTATTAGGCGATACCAGGGAAGAACCATTTTTAATGGAAAACAAGGCTTGCTCTTCTCTGCCATGAACATTTACTGTCAGTAGCGCCTTATGCACCATATTACAAGATGCTTAATAACTGAATAACTGGCCTCTGTCCACCACAGAATAGGGGGAGGGGGCTGGAAACTGGGTGCCCCACAAGGTTGAGAGGTTATCGGAAGGACGAAGTCCAGTGTCACAGGTGGGAGCATCTACTGAATACCCTACAGCCCTGGTCGGAGCATCGCCCCGCCCACCAACAGGTTGCAGGGTTCAATTCCTGGTCAGGACACATATCTAGTCTGCAGGTTCAATTCCTGGTCAGGATGCATACAGGAGGCAACCAGTGTTTCTCTCTCACAACAATGTTTCTCTTTCTTCTTCTCTCTCCCTCTCGCCTTTCCTCTCTCTAGAATCAATAAAAAACTTATCTTCAGTTGAGGATTTAAAAAAAAGAGAACACCCTAGGAAAAAAGTATGATGGCTAAGTTTTTTATTCTACTTAAAAAAAAAATCATAGTGGATGTTCTGCGAGATTTTATCCAAACTACCACTTACACAAGAAACAACAAGTGGACAAACACACACTCACTGACTCTAATACTTCCTATTCCCATGCTAAGCCTTCTTCTGAAACTTGAATATAATTCCTCAAACAAAAAAGTTAAATAAAACATATAGTTTGATCTATTGTTGCCCTCAAGTAATTTGATGACATTAAGCCACCATGTCACCGCGGATTCAATTCTACCATAGTAGAAGAGATTAACGGCACCATAGCAGTGAGGCTAAGGATATTCACCATTGTTAATAATTATGGACAAATCTATTGCTCGTGGTTTATACTTGGTGTGACACCCTGAGGATGTCCAGAGATGATTCCAGAGGAAAAGCATTCCTAAAGCTTTCCTATACACAGGCTAGAGGGTCAGGATGGAGACAGAGATAAACAGAGGATAGCCTGGAGCTTCGTAGGCTATTTAAAATAACTCGATTTAAAATAATTTAGAATTATTTCAAAGTGGCCCAAGGGACATGCAACGATGGAGGAAATGTACCGGACAAATGCTCCCGAAGGCCTCAGACACGCACGGAATCACACCAGCCCACCAGGGAGCCCGGACTCACGTGAGGGGCACCGCGCTAGTTTTTGACTGTCTTCTGCTTTTCAGGGCCCGGAGTCTATCTCCTTGCGTCACGCCGTAGCTTTCGTCGTCATCGCTGTACTGTACAAGTAAAAACACACTGAGCCAACCGCCCGGCGCTGGCTCACGCAGCAAGCACGGCAGCTACGCTCATCCCCGGGGCACGCACGCCCGCCTCCGGCTGAACTCTAAAACAGCTGCTGCTTTTGAAATAAAGCGACAGCTCACGGTGCAGGACACCCAACCTTCACTTCCACAGACACAGAAGCTAATAGCGCTCCTGCTATAAAACGGGACAGTGAAGAGGCATAACGGGCTTTCGATATTGAAAACATGCATTTTAAAATGTCACCATCTACTTACCATCACTTAACACAGTACAGCTACCCCTAAATGCTGGGTTCTCTAAAGTTCCACGTGAGAACGGCTGGTCCCCTAGGTCAGCGGTCACAAACAGGCCAGGTGCCGGGAGGGGGTCACTAGGGCCACCTATAGCGCTTCCTTCACACACTCCCGCCCCCCGCTCCCCCCCCCCAGCGCCCAGTGTGAGAACTCCAGCATCATGGACACCTCACCTTGTTCTAACTACTTAGCAGAAAGTTCCTAGAGAGGACTCTACGTATAAAAAATGTGACAATAATCCCTCAAAATGTGCTTTATTGCTCGATCTGCAGTTTCCTCCGTGCCCTGAAAGGTTCTCAACAGCATTTAAAGAAATAGCAACAGAGGGACGAGGATGGTTCCATTACCAGCTCAGGTTCTTGCTTGTCGTGATGCCTGGGCCCATGGAGTGAAATGTCGTCCACGGCCAAGAGGAGCTTTGAGACGGCTGCTCTGTGTTTGCCGTTCTCCTGACCCCTTAGCTTTTGACGGAAATAGTCTCCTTCCAACCAGAGGCTTGACTGTTTCCTGTCAGAGCATTTAAACAGCATCAACACACACTTTTTGAGAAAGACACAAATGAACAACGTCGTCCTCCTAGAGGCCGTCTGTCGTTATGGAGACTAAGACATCTACTTCCGAGCAGTACCCAGGCCCAGTTCCCTCGGAATCACCAAAGCCTTCTGTCTACTTACGTCACCAGGAACTGCTGCTGAGGCCCGATCACGGAGCCCGGCCTGCAGATCCTGATCCAGGCGATGGCCTCGGCCGCGGTCATCCTGTAATGCTTCATGATGTAGCAGGCTATGAGGGTGCCCGTTCGTCCAAGGCCAGCTAGGACGGGAAATAAGCCAATCAGACCTGGTCCCTGTTGCGAGGGGCGGGCCTGCCTCCCCAAACAGCGGTCCTGGAGTTGGGGCGTGCACTGCCATCACCTGGAGAGGTCTCAGAACACCTCCAGAGAGCAGATTTAATGGTCCCACAACGCCACCTTGACAGAGATTCCTAAAATCCCCCGAATGATTCTACACACAGCCAAGAATGAAAATCGCTTTCCAAGTGACGACTCTCAATAAGTACAGTGCTTCTACCCTGAGTTTTCTCTTAATGATAAAATCATATTCCCAAAAACACAGGCTTAAAATCTTGTAAAACTTTCCCCTTCATTCACCAGTGTTTCTACTGTACTTTTCTACTCGTTTTCACATGATTTTTTAAAAACTCTATTCCCGCTATCCTCCTTGACTCTCGCCTAAACTACTCAATTTCATCCTGCGATGGTAATTTTATGTGTCAACCTGGTAGGTGTGTTTGGGTGAGAATAGTGGACTTTTGAGGAGGTGGGTTACCCTCCATGTGGGTGGGCCTCATTCAATCAGTTGAAGGTATGAACAGAACAGCCTGGCCTCCCCACGCTGGGAGGGGCTCTCCGGCAGACTGCCTCCCGCCTTCACGCACCACTGGCTCCTCTGGGTCTCCAGCCTGCCAGCCACCCTTGTGTGCGAGCCGATTCCTTACCCTAAATCTCCTTCTATGCACCATACATGTCCTACTGGTTGGTCCTCTGGAAAACCCTCCTTGCTACAGATTTGGTACCATAACCACAACAATACGTAAAGACGTGGGAGTGGCTCTGGCACTGGAATTTACAGGCTGCAGGAGTTTCAAGGCTCCTGTAAGAAAACACCCAGACTGCCTTGAAGGAGCTGTCGGCAGGAATATGCACGTTAGCACGGATTCTGGAGCGGACGCAGGTGGAAATGGAGACCGTGTTACTGGAAACTAGAAGAAAGGCCATCCTTGTTAGACAGAGGCAACCCCCCGCTGCCCTGTGTCCGCCGGCTTTGTGGACAGCAAAACCGTGAGCGGCGGCCTTGGGTAGTCAGCAAAGATCACCCGTGCGCGAAGGGTTGAAGGTGCAGCCCGGGGTCTCCTTACTGACACGTAAAATGCGAGCGGAGGGAGATGAATCCAAGACCTTTTTAAACAGAAAGGAACCAGAAACTAAACATTTTGAAAATTCTAGGCCTATCCATACTGCGGAAAGCAAGCACACATGTTCTGAAGACAACACCAGTGGTGTGGCTGAACATGCCACTCCATAGACATTACCCACGGATTTAATCACCAGAAGCCAGGAATAGACACAGAGGTGGGCACGGCTGCTACCACCCAGGCCCAGGGGCATGGACCAGGCTACACGGTCCATAACTTCAGGGACAAGGCCACCACCAGAGCCAAGGGGGCGGGCCTGCCTCCCCTGCAGGCCTGCAGAATAGATAATGGAGCCAGACAGCATTCTTCTCATTTGACTCCGGGTGGTGGGCACATAGTGCGGTACACAGATCTTGTAACACAGGAACCCACACCTGAAACCTATATGATCACTTTAACCAATGTCACCCCAATAAGTTTAATAAAAAAGGGGAAAAGAATAGCTTCCCAAAGCCAAAGGGGGGAAAATTCACCAAAGCTTCTGCACAGCTAAGGGGAAATTAGATGTGACTCATGTGATGGCAACAAGATCATTTGGGTCTCAAATAACATTTTGAAAGGACACTAAGAAGCTGTTCTTTAGCAGTGAAAGATTGACGAAAGATGTCTTTTTTCTTACTGACCAGGGAGAAGACATCTTTTCCCCTGGTTGGGAATAACAAGTCCAGCAGGTGCCTGAAAAGAGACGTGTCTAAAAATCACTAACCCTCTTCCTCCTCCTTCTCCTCCTCCTCCCCTCCCGGAAATGTTTGGAAGAAATTCCTTTATTAAGCACCTAAAGCATGCTAAGTTTTAAAGGACAGATTTTGCAGCCAATTTAATAGCATGATTCAGATACAGTATTTCAGAGGTTGACAAAAGTTTTCCATTTCTTTTACAGCTATTCAACTCTGCTGTTTTAGCAAAAAGCAGCCATAGACAACATAGAAATAAATATGTATGACTGTGTTCCGATGAAACTTAATTCATGAACACAAATTGGAAGTCCATATAATTTTCATGTCACCAAAAATTATTCCTCTTTTGATTTTGTCTAACCATTTAAAATGTAAAACCAGCTTCATTTCATGGACAAAAGCTGGCAGTGGGCCAGGTATAATCTGTGATTTGCCTACCTATGCACAACTGAGTGAGAAAACAGGGTGCGGAACTGTGTTCACAGCATGGTTTTCTGTAACTCAAAAACGGAGGCCTACAGATGAACAAAAGGCTGGAATAAATCTATAAACCGCAGCTGCACTGTTACGCTGAGATTATGGTTGATTTTACTCCCTTTACTTTTTGGTGGTTTCCAGTTTTATTGCTGGCAATATTTTACTTTAATGATGGAAATAAAACATTTTGAAAGAATTAAAAGAAAAAGAAGAGTGTTCGTCTCAGGCCAGAAGAGTTAGGGCGTTTGCTCTGTGAGGTCTAGACTGTCACCCGTTTCTTCTTTCTAATTCCTCCCATTTGGGATGCGAATGCCTGTCCCACCACTGCATTTTGGAAGAACATGACTGGTCTTGTCCCAGGCTCACGGCTGGGGAGGAATTCTGAATGTCACCCAGAGCTGACTTAGACGATCGGCCTGAGACTTTCAACTTGGACTGACCACGGAATGAGTTCAGACTGGGGGCTGTTGGGATGGAGTGAATGGTCATATTTATGTGTGAGAATGTGAGTACTGGGTGGCCAGAGAGTAGAATGTCATGGACTGAATTATGTGTCTCCGCCTCCTCTTCCCCCGCAAATCCATAGTATGTTGAAGTCCTCTGTCCCACATGACAGTCTCTGGAAAAAGGACTTTATGAAGGTAATTAAGGTTAAATAAGGCCCCGGTGGGCACTTAGTCCAATAGGACTGGTGCTCTGATGACAAGAGGAAGTGCACCAGGAGTGAGTGTACACAGGAGACAGAGAAGGTGGCTGTCGGCTGCCAGGGCAGCTTGTCCAGACACCTACCCGCCAGCACCTTGAACGTGGACTTCTAACCTCCCAACTATGGGAAAATAAATGCCTGCTGTCTGACACAGTCTGGTATTGCTATGGTACCCCAAGCACATTAATGCACTTCCTGGTCAATCTCATGTTTCACTTGAAAATCCAATCTTCACACTGTCATCAGTTTTCTTCTCAAAACAAAGATCTGATTATATCAAATCCTCTTCCGGTTTTTAACGGGTCCCCAGGCCACTTCTGGGTTTCACTACTGACATTTAGGGCCAGAGAATTCTTTGCTGCCAGTGTGGGCCCGTGTGTTTTAAGATGTTCAGGGGCATCCCTGGCCTCCACTCTCTAGATGCCAGGAACAACCCTCCCCCTAGTTGTGAAAACCAAAAGAATGCCTTGTGACACTGCCAAACGACCCAGGGACCACAAACCACCCCAAAGGAACACCTCAGGTTATATTGCTTATTATAATGTTTAAAACATGAAATAACCCATGCTGAATTTTATTTAAATTATTCATCACTTAAAGTTGTGATAAAATGCATATAACATAAAACTTTCCACTTCAACCATTTTTGTGGATGTACAGTGGGGCCTTGACTTACGAATTTAATTCGTTCCAAGACCGAGCTCCTTCGTTAAGGAGCTCGTTAACTCAAATTACTCTGTCAACTCAATGCAAAAGATCGGCGGAGAGACAGCTGGTATCTCGAAAAACCTGCTAGTCGGGACACTCGTAAGTCAAGGCCCCACTGTACCATTTTCCTCATTTCATTTACTTCTCAGTTTCCTTTTAGCTCACTGAGCGTTTTTCAGACAGCCATGTTAGGTTCTTTCTCAGGCAATTCAAAGACCTATGTTTCTTTGGAGCCAGTTTCTGGAGATGGTTTTAACTGTTTGCAAGTGTACAAGCCAGTGGCACTGAAACACCTCACAATGCTGTGCACCATCATCAATGTCCCCCATCATCATCAAAGTGAGATGACGGCGCTTCTGTTGGTGGGCAGGGTAGGGTGCTCCTAGGCTCGGGATGTGGCTGGTTTATTGTGGTGGTCAAGTCCTGCATTTCTTTACTTATCTTCTGTCTGGTTTTTCTACCCATATTGAAAGTGGGATATTAACATTTCCAACTAGTATTGGACAATTATTTTTCCCTTCAATTCTGTCCAATTTTCTTTCCCATATTCTGAAGGTCTATTGGACATGTAAAATGTTTGTGTTATATCTCCTTACTGTATTGAACCTTTATTAATATATAATGTCCCCTTTTGACTCAAACCTTTCATTAAAGTCTCTTTTGTCTGTTATCAGTATAATCACCTTTGCCCATCCATTCACTTTCAATCTATTTGCGTCTTTGAATCTAAAATTGATTCTCTTTTATTTTTTAAGCCATTCTTCCAATCTCATCTTTTGATTAGAGAGTTTACAGCTTAAGTAACAGTAATATCAGCCATTATAAGTGTCCAATGCATTTATTTTGACCAGAGATCTGTATTTTTCAGATAGCTTCTAGTGACTAGCTAGTGTCCTTCCATTCAACCTTTAGCTTTTCTTGCACGTCAGACCCAGTGGTAGCAAACTCCCTCACCTTTTAGTTATCTGGGAATGTCTTAATTTCACCCCATTTCTGAGAAAAGGTTTAGCCAGATGCAGGATTTGCAGCTGACTCTTCCCTTCAGCACTGACTTCCAGATGTCCCCAAACACATACACACACTAACAGCTGAGCTCAGCTGATGTTTCTCTCCAGCCAGGTAAGCTTTGGACAAAGGAATTTCATCCTAAAATACTGGCAGATGGAAAACACAGTTGAAGTACAAACTCTGCCTTTATAATTATTTGCAGTGTGTACACCCTATGTCCCCCCAAAATGTATGCACACTTTAACAGCTGATAACTCACTTCATTTTCATTCCTTTTTAGGTTTAACTGATTTAAAATAACGGGTGAGGCCAGACTAAGCTTTGAACAAAGAAAAATTATCCACTAGACTCTTTTATGGGGATACATAAAATATAAAGTTTATGTTACAAAACCAGAAACAGTTGACAAATCAAGGGCACACAAATCCTGAACAAAATGGTTCTTGAGTTTGTGATTCCAGTGCTTCACATTATCAGCAGTGCCTGGACCAGAACCGTCATCAGTTTGAAAACAGGGGTTGACAAAAAATATTCACTCTGTAGCTTCTTTTAAATTTTAAAAATGAACTGTATGTTAACAAAAACTGACTTTATAATCATTCAAACTGTGTATACATTTTTTGGGACACCCTATAGATCAACCTTTCGATGAGAAATCTACTGACATCTTACTGGAGTCTCTTGAATGTGGTAAGTTGATTCTGTTTTACTGTTTCTAAGATTCTCTTTGCCTCTGAGTTTAGATGGATTGATAATAATGCATCTGGGTGTGGTCTCAGAGTTTATCTTGGTTGGGGCTCCCTGAGTTTCTTTGATGTTTACATTCATGTCTTTCTTCAAATTTGGGAAACTTTCAGCAATTATTTCTTCAAACAATCTGTCTGCTCTGCTCACTGACATACCCTAGAGCCTACCGAACAGCAGGCATGGAGCAGATTATGTGATGAATCAATGAATACATTTCCATGTGAGAAGCCAGCCAATGTGACTCAGTTGGTTGGGCACCTTCCCAGGCACCAGAAGCTGGAGGGTGCCATTTCATGCCAGGGCACATGCCTGGGCTTTGGGCTCAACCCCCAGTAGGGGGCATACAGGATGCAGCTGATGTTTCTCTATCATCAATGTTTTTATCTCTTTCTTCCTCTCCCATCCTCCCCGTGAAATCAATAAAAAAATCTAAAAACAAGCAAATTAAAGAAAAAAAATACCTTCTGTAACCACAAAAGCAGCTTCGTGTGTCCTAGCACATCATCTAAATGACTATGGTATATACACAAACATACTCACACATCTACACATACATGCCCACCACGCGTTAACCAGCCCTACAGACCTACCTTTACAATGCACTGCAATGGCGCCCTCGGCACTTTCACATATATCCAGAAATTCTTTGATGATCGCATCGGTAGGGGTGCTGCCATCCGCAAAGAAAAGATCATAGTGATCGAAACCAGCATTCGTAAATTGTTTGGCATTATACATCCTTTTATTCAGACGGATAATGGTAGTAACGTTGTGATTCTTAAAATAGGGAATGTAAGCCTCAGGAGAATGTTGGTAGTAACCTACATAAAGAAATTACCAAACGTTGTAAAATGCAGAAAGAAAACAATGATAACAATTTCATCTGTAATTGTGTGGAAACAGTGTCTAGACTGGACATTGAATACCAATCTACAATAATAAAAGCATAATATGCTAATTAGACCAGACAGCCAGACGTCCTTCCGGATGAAGCCGCTGCAGCGGGACGGAGGCAGAGGCAGTTAGGGGAGATCAGGCAGGCAGGTGAGGGGTTAGGGGCGATCAGGCAGGTAGGCAGGCAAGTGAGCAGTTATGGGTGATCAGGCAGGCAGGCAGAGTGGTTACAGGTGATCAGACAGGCAGGCAAGCAGTTATGGGTGATCAGGCAGGCAGACGAGTGGTTAGGGGTGATGAGACAGACAGGCAGGCAGAGTGGTTATGGGCGATCAGACAGGCAGGCGAGCAGTTAGGGGCAATTAGGCAGGCAGGTGAATGGTTAGGGGCTATCAGGCAGGCAGGCAGGTGAGCATTTAGGAGCCAGCAGTCCCGGAATGTGAGAGGGATGTCCCAGATTGCGAGAGGGTGCAGCCCGGCTGAGGAACAACACCCCTCCCTTCCTGCCCCCCCCCCCCATCCCCATGCATGAATTTCATGCACCGGGCCTCTACATTGATTATAAGTGTAAAAAAAATAAATTAAATGAAGTTAAATCCAGGCAGAATAATGTACTGAAATGATCAAGTACCTTAGTTAAACTCTTAGGCCTCTTAAAAAGAAAAAGAAAAAAAAAAGATGGATACTTTTAATAAGAAAACTACCCGGGTCCCATATTTTTGCATACCATTTTCAAGTCTGGTTTTTGAAGAAGGTCCACAGAAGGCAATGAATCGGCCTGGTATTATCCAGTTTAAATCTCCGTTTTCTGCTTTCTGCAAAGAGACCAGCATGATTCATTTTTAGACTTAATCTCTCCACACCCCTTCTCAATACTGAATGCCTGTGGAACATCAAATCCATTTGCTTTAGCACAAATGCTGTTTATAAATGATGAGGCAGGACACTAAATTTGAGCCTGCTCTGAATATTTCACAGAAGAGTCAGTTGACTTTTTCTGGTCCTAATCGCTTCCTCTTAAGTGTTTTTTGCTTGGGTAGTCAGCCTTCGGAAAGCAACCGACTGCTGGTATCTAAAATATACCTAAGCACTTTGGTGATTTTATCCAAGTAAATTCTCATATAGTTGCTACTAATTAATATAAAAGTAAACTTTTCCATTAGGAGTGATCTGGAAACTTCCATTTCCCTGAATGACTAACTGGCTTCCAATATGAGCAATCTTGACTCACTGAACAAAGGAGAAAAAAGTATCTATTCAGGCTCTGGGACTTTCGATATTTACTTTTTATTTGTAGAAACATGTCTGCATCATGTTGCTAACTATTTAATAAGAAGGTCGCTGAAAATTTTTTACTAAGCCACCAGGAAATTTGAAATTGTAAGTATACTAGGATCACTGTAGGTCTCTAGAAAAAAACTGAAATTTAAAACACTTTACTTCCTGTTATTAAGTCCTTTCCATAACAATTATTGTAAGAGAAATAGAATTCAAATTTAACAATAGAAATGATTACACAAGGACTTGAGCAGAAAGTAGGAGACACTTGAGAGCGAAGAAAACTAATGATAAAAATAAGATCAGTTAGTTTTGCTGGGCTTGTATATGTGTACCTAAGACTAAGTAAGAAATGTACTGAGTTGCTTGAACATCACAGGCCAGGCCCATAACCCAAAACCAAGTTACTTAATTATCACGGAGAAGAATTGGCGAGCCCATGTTCCATGCTAACAGGCCTAAATGGGAATGAGGAAAGTGTTGCCAGGTATTCTGATTTTCAAGTGAAGACAGAAATCTGAAGTTTTTAACAAGAAACCTGTGGTTAGATTCCACTGAATCACCGGTGATTATAAAGGGGAGGAGGGATCAAGGAAGCAATGAAACACTAACCTAACATTTCTAAATACACTGTGGAGACCAAACAAAACCAGCCTGTGAGCTCCTGTCTGGAGCTGCCTGAATAGTCCCCGTGTCTCAAAGCAATTTCACTGAAATTAAACACACTTGTGGTGACCTCTGCTCCCTGCCAGCACCGGCATTTCTGCATTAGTGAGAGAAGCCAATGAGCCGCTCCCACGGGCCACACGGGGTGAGGCTGTGCCGCACAGAAGGAACACGGAATGCTGGTTTAGGAGTTCTGCTTCTATAGGAAAGATATTTTATTTTAAATGTTTAATTTTATAAGGACAAGCACCAGAAAAGTGTAATCATTACGTTGCAGTCGATAGTATAAGGTGGCAATGAAATACACATTGTACTTTAGAAATGAATTGCTCTCACAGAGAATAAAGACAGGATGCACCCTAAGAAATTGCACATTTTGCTCTTTCATTTTGGGTACATCTCGGTAATGACTGATCGCAGCTACTAACCCTGCCCATCAATACAACAGTTTAGTTATGCCTAAGAGTTTACAATAATTAGAAATTAACTGTTAAAGAACAGTTACGTGAGGATTCAAGATACTACTGCATAAAATGCTGCATGAAATCACCGATGACCAGGGACAATGTCTGCTCCAGGTAACTACAGTGAGGTAAGAGGATCAGACCCCACAGCACTCTTGGCTGGAAAAGACCTTCAGGGTAAGCATCTTACTCGTTATCGATCTGGAGGGTGGGATGAACAGTAGAAGCAAGTTCCTTTTCTTTAAGGAAATGCACTGCATTTCAGTGTGAGGACACCTGTGGTTTCGCCTGCCTGGACTCCTCTTCCTTTGGTCTGTGTGGCTGACAGGGCCGGCCCGGCACTGCGGCTCCTGGGGGAGTGGGTATGCTCCCCCACCGGCCCTCCCTTGCTGGGAACATGCTGGTTGAGGGCGAGGGATATGACCTAAGCCAGGCCAAGGAGAGGATCGCTTCGGTCTCCCGCTGGAGCCTGGATGCCCTTTTCTGGTGAGTTCGGCAACTGGGAGTGCCACAGTGGCTGGTGGTTACCACTCCTGAGGGCCAGCCCGGGACACAGTGCTCCTGCAGCACCGTTTCTGGTGAGTGGGTACCTGCATCTGGTCATGTGTGATGGCACACTTGCTCCTGGCCTTTTGTGTATGAAAGTCAATAAATCTTCCCTTTTTTATTTAAGCCATATGTGTTTACGTTGTGAAATTCACAAGCGGAAGTGTCCTGACTTCTGCCAACGGTAGTGATAAAAACATATTTTCCAGAGGTTAGTTAGATGATGCCATGGCTATCTATTCATCTCATCAGATTCTGTGCTAAGGGTTTTACAAACACGGTCTCATTTAGGCACCAGATGAAGTCATCATTACTGAAGATGTTTAAACTGAAGCTAAGGGAACAGCGGGAGCACGCCCTTCCCTCTGGAAGGAGGTATCGCCGAGGGTAGCGCCCATGAGGAACTGGGCTGCGTGCGAGGATCACGCGGGACTCCCTCATACTTACACACACCCACGTTGCTCAGTGTTTTACAAACAGTGATACTTCAGTAAGGAAAACATAAGTAGCAGAATTAAAATCAATGTACTTGAAAACTTACTTCATAGTGTTCATATTCATCAAGTCTGAATGAGTTGAAATTAAAGAAGCCATACTGCATTGCCTGAAATCCAAAGGAAAGCTTTTAAGAACAAAGATGCAAATAGTAAATGATTTCCAATCCAATTTCCTAATATCAGGAGGCACCCTCCAAAAATCATTATTATATTCAGATGACGTTCCACTGAATAGTTTTCTAAAGAGGTGGAATATGTCTTATAAAGGTTCCCAACTAGTTCTAACTAGTTACTAGTACATCAATATTTACTTTAATGAGATTTGATATTTTATCTTCCTTCACAATCATCCTATCTGTGCAGAGCTAGAAAAATCAATCCTTCAAAGTAACCCCACTTATTAGATTTACACCACTCAGTCTTCAACTATAATGCACGAACTCAATGGCCCCTAAACAGACAGAGGAAAGAAAGGTTAGTTTGTCACGAACGAATCCCACACACTTCAGAAATATTTTTACTTTCAAATTCTTCTTGGGTTAAGAGATTAATGTCCCCTCTACAGCCCAGAGATCAAACACTGAAATTCAAAATTTTGAGGAGAAAAATGTCTTCTTTCAATAAAAAACACACACACGTGGGTTTTCCGTTCTGGGTTGCAGTGGGCAGAGCATGCTAAGTGAAATGAGCAAAGGATCTATACTCTGAGGTTAGGGCGAGCTGGCAGCTTCCCAGAAGCAGTTTTGGAGCCAGACAGTATGTAAGCTAGAATTCTTGATCAACAAGCTAATCTTATTAACGAATGTCACCCCAATAAACGTAATTAAAAAAAAATAGAAAACAGCAAAAACTAGGGGTGACTTTTAACAAACCCAGTTTTCAAAATTTAAAGTACTGAACTATAAATGAAAAATATGAAAGCTACAATACCAAGAAAAAGGCCTCATTTTATGAAGTGTAGTTATTTAAATGCTAGCTCCAAGACCAAATCCATGAGGAATTTTATTTCCTTGAATTCAAAATTCTCAATACATGTCATGATATTTGGACCAGAGATGTTCCTAACAGAATGATACAACAAGATACAGTTTATAGGAAATTTCAGTTCTTTGAATTTCATAAGGAGATCGAATTAGAAGTAGCACTAGTAGCATTTCAAATGTTTCAGGCACACAATATTCTAAGTTAGTCACAAACAAATGCTTAAACTGAAAATCAGAAGCTGTTGACTTCAGGAAAATTAAATATAGTGTGAAAAGTGCAATCTTTGACTTACAGTTGCTAATTAGATCTGACTAAAAACAAAACAAAATTAAAAAAAACTAAGTGCGGCCGGTATGGCTCAATGGTTGAGTGACGACCCAGAAACAAAGTCACCCATTCGCCTCCCAGGTTTTGGGCTCAGTCCCCAGTAGGGGGTGTGCAGGAGGCAGCTGATCCATGAAATTTCTCTCTCCTTGATGTTCTATGTCTCTATCCCTCTCCCTTCCTCTCTCTCTAAAAACCAATAAAAACATATTTTAAAAAAACTAAGGCAAGCCGGAACCAGTTTGGCTCAGTGGATAGAGCTTCGGCCTGCAGACCGAAAGGTCCCGGGGTCGATTCCGGTCAAGGGCATGTACCTGGGTTGTGGGCACATCCCCAATGGGGGATGTGCAGGAGGCGGCTGATCGATGTTTCTCTCTCATCGATATTTCTGACTCTCTGTCTCTCTCCCTTCCTCTCTGTAAAACATCAATAAAATATATTTAAAAAAAAAAACAAAAAAAAAACTAAGGCAAGAATTAATGACAGACAGCTATACACTGTTACAGACCTTTTCCCATGCCCTCAATGTTTTTCTGTTTTGAAAGGTGGTGGGAGATGAGAAAAGGGAGACCCAGGGTCCTGGCCGGGCACCTGCCAACATCAGCAGCTTCCTGGGTCCATCTGATGGGAGTGACTCAGTCCGGAGGGATCATGTATACCTGCCATGCCTCCTCTCCCGACGGAGCCCATCACCTGCCGAAACCGAGGCCTGGGGGGCTGCCTCAGTCACCTCTACCCCTCACAGAGGCGCTGGACTCAATCCCAAAAGAATGAAAAGGTAGACTAATCAATCTCTGACTTTGTATACTAATTAGTCCTCTCATCTTAATCCACAACATTTCTGTCAAAATTCTCAAAAGCCACCATATTCCAGCATACAAGAGTCAAGCTGGGTTCCTTTTGCCTCTGGAAATACAATCCCATAAACACTCGACAGGTCACTGAGCCATAGTTCAGTGACTTCAAGTTTAGTGACTTCAAGTTCTAGTTTCTTTTGCTTCCTGACATCTAAGAGAGTGAGGGTTACAATCGGGTCCGCTGTGCCCCTAACTCCAGGGGACCCTGTTCTTTTGGAATGTGATATGCAGGGTATCCCCTGGTGTCAGAGAAAAGCAAGCAGCCTGGTTATAAAACACAAGCGCTACTTTAAAGTAGCTTTTCAGTAGTGACCTACTTGGTTTTATATATTAACTAATGGGCTATCAGTGTACAAACTAATGGCTATTCAAATCCTGTGAAATGGAAATTGACTGCTTGAAGACTTAAAATCACGTGTATGACACTGTGCTATAAACACGTAAATAGGATTGGTGGGAATCCTAATTATGTATCCTATGCAAACACATAAATCAAAGGGAAGTTGGAAATCAGTAATCTATTGCCATTCTGTTTTTCTCTGAAGTCACAACACACTCAAAGCCAAGTCTGGATTTAGAACCCAATTACCTAACTAACTAACTGATTGTCCACTGCTGCTCAGGGGGCTTCTCCACTCACGCAGACGCTCTCAGATCATAACAAACTTCCCCAGTGGGGGCCCTTCTCATGTTAGTGGGAAATGGTGGGAGGTCTTTGAGGGGAACACCTGTCTTCCCTGGGCGGTGCTCCATTCCCCAGCACAACGCTGGGGGCGTCCGCAGTCACCTACCTTCTTCACCGCGTGGAAACAGTCCAGAAGGGTAATGAAGAAATTGCAGCTCCCATAGGCAGCGTCTCTGAAATCCCAAGAGCATTGAAATGCGAAGCTCAGTTAACTTTCTGCAGTACGTTTACTCAACACAAAGCTGACTAGGATTTATTTTATTTATTTTTTTAAAATATATTTTATTGATTTTTTACAGAGAGGAAGGGAGAGAGATAGAGAGTTAGAAACATTGATGAGAGAGAAACATCGATCAGCTGCCTCCTGCACATCTCCCACTGGGGATGTGCCCACAGCCCAGGTACATGCCCTTGACCGGAATCGAACCTGGGACCTTTCAGTCCGCAGGCCGACGCTCCATCCACTGAGCCAAACCGGTTTCGGTGGATTTAAAACCAAACACGTACTCAGAGCAAGATCCAGGGGGAAGGGGGAGAGAAGAATATTTGTTGTTTGGTTTTTAAATAAAAGTCACTGATATAAATTTTACTGCCGTTCCTACCTCCTCCAGTAGATACTGTTTTATAAACAGGGTTCAATAATGGCCACTTCCTAAATTGTCAACGATCTCTCTGGATCAGCTTGGGCTTTGATGGTTGAGCTTCGAGAGTTACCAATCAACAATATGGACCCCTGCCCCCAAAGGGCAGGGTATATGAATTTTCTCTTCATACCAGAAAATGCAGTATCTAACTGTTACCAGGAAAGACTGGTTTTTGATTCTGTATATATGCATCTCTGTGCGTGTGTGTGCATGTAAGCGCACGTGTGCCTGTGTATATCTGCATCCAAGTAGGAAAAAGAAGGTAGTATCTGAGATATTAGGTGCAAGCTGAAACACACTTTTCTCCTCTCATTATGCTTTTACAATTTTACACTTTTTAACAATTTAACTGGGTAACTTCTTTCTGATCCTTAAAGGAACACAGTACCACTAAACCCCAGGGATTAGGGCATCAACTATCCTTAGCAGAATCACTCTGCTCTTGGGAAGCGCTAACGTCAGTTTGCAGACAACTCGGCCCAGAGCTGCACCGACACTCAGCAACACTGTCACTCCACGGCTCCCACACCAGGGAGGGTCTTGTCCAGAAAAATAAGGCGCTCCTCCACGGCCCCCGCTTCTCCTTTCTAACTACCCGGAGCCGTTGCAAAGCTAAGATAAGATCAATGTAGTTATGCTCATCCTAGACATGCCAAACCACCGTGCCTCTCGGCATGCACGTCCGGTCCGTCCTTCTGTGGAACGGAGGCTCCTGGAGCTGCAACTGCCCGCCTTAGTTGTGACATTACTAACCTGAGAAATCAAACCGCACATTTAAGCTGTTTAATTCTTGCCCAAACCTTAAGAATGTTGGTGGTTAGCGCAGCATTAAAGTAACGGTGAGGAAAAGGAAGGGCGTCCCCCTCAGCTCCCACAGTGTCAGAGCTCCCGGCTGGCCTGGCCGAGGCGCGGAGGAATGTGCACGCCGGCCTGCACGAGGCTGGCGCACATCTTATAACTCCCACTCTGTTGTAAGCTTCGGAATTTAAAAGCTGCTCTTCTAAAGCCAGAAAAGGTCTGATTTTACCAGCAGCCCACTGACAATATTCGGGAAGGACAAAAGCAAAATGCGCCGGGGCAGCGATCCTGAGCGCGGTCCCTGGACCCGCGGCGTCAGTGCCACACGAACTGTCAGAAACACCAAGGCCCAGGCTCCCCGGACCTGCTGGGTCAGAAGGTCTAGGGGTGGGGCAGGTGACTGGGAGCCATGTACAGTTTGAGGATCACTGACTACAAAAATCAACACAAATACTTGTTTCATAGAAATAATTTCTCATGCAATAGCAATGTCTTAAGGAAGAGAAGCTAGTTAATAAAGTGAAGTAGTTTCCTCTAAATCACAATTATCAGTGGAAATAGGGTGAACTGTCCCGTGACGTCTGACGTGTTTAGTCATGTCTCCTTCTCAGCCAGGATGCCATCTTCTTAACCAACTGACAGCTCCTACCCAATCCAGGGAGGGCACGTTGACTCAGTCTTTGCGACAACGTGATACATGCATTCGATACGATGCATGTTTTTGGAGAACCTACTGTGGGCCAAACCTTGCGCTAGCCCAGTGATGGCGAACCTTTTGAGCTCGGCGTGATCAGCATTTTGAAAAACCCTAACTTAACTCTGGTGCCGTGTCACATATAGAATTTTTTTGATCTTTGCAACCATAGTAAAACAAAGACTTATATTTTTGATATTTATTTTATATATTTAAATGCCATTTAACAAAGAAAAATCAACCAAAAAAATGAGTTCGCGTGTCACCTCTGACACGCGTGTCATAGGTTCGCCATCACTGCTCTAGTCAGTGATGATCTGGCGAGCTTCCCCCCGGGCTCGGCGCAGCTCTGCCTCACACGTCGCACCGTCTGAATGGCCAACGAGGACCACTCGTGTCTGTTTCATCAACACCTCCTTCCCCACCCAAACAGTCAGGCTTCTTCAAAACAGCACATGGCAGCTACAAATGTGGATGTAAGCCCTGGCGGGCAGAGGGGGCTTGGCACTATGATCGTGTAAAAAACTTGGGAAATCGGATGCAAGCCAACGGAGTCTTGCTTAGAAACTGCAAAACAATGTCAAGTTCTAGTTTTCAGGAATAACAGCTTTCACAGGATATTGTATGCATAATAGCCCAACACCTCAGATAACCCAGGTACCTATCAAAAGGACAATGTAAATAAATTGTGACAAAGTCATTGAATGGAATGCTATTCCATCACTTCCTATTACGAAAGTAGTAAGAAGAAAAAGAATGCGCTGCAGATACCTGCCACACTACGGACAAATTTCCTAAGTAGCGTTTAAAAAGCTAGGTCCCAGCTCTCCAAAACGCACACTGTATGACCCCATTTATAAACACGCTCAGAGGCTAGGCGAAAGAAGCGCTCTGCAGAACACCATTATCACTGTTTATCGATGTGCCTGTCACTCAGGGACCAAAAATGCAAGCATTTTTCTAAACAAAGCACATGGCTGCCGTTATATTTTAGGCGGAAAAGACAAATGGAGCACTTTCCAGTTAGAAAAGAACATCATCCCTCTTTACGGTGATGGTGGGCTAGGAGGAAGGGGTGGCACTGGGTTCAGAGGAATTCTGCTACTTTACTGAGACACTAATATACAGCGCTGAGTGCGACAGGTCACTGTTGGAACGGACGGCAGCCTGTCCTCACAACTCTATTCCATGGAGCCCGTCCACGGCTGGCCCTGCAAAGTCACTGAAGGAGGAGGTGCTGCTGAACGTGAGGGGGACGCCTCCCCAAGCCCATCCACAATGAGGGCACATCCTGTTTCACAGGAAAGCCCGTGCCTTCAGCCAGGCACTTGAGATTTATGCAACAATCCTAAACCTATGGGCCTGCGAGTGGAAGAATAATGCGATACTTGAGATCATCCATACAGCTGGCAACAAGCAAAATTATTCCACACATTTACTACACATTCAGCACCATGTAAGTATTTAGATCAGCGGTTCTCAACCTGTGGGTCGTGACCCCTGTGGCGGTCGAACGACCCTTTCACAGGGGTCGCCTAAGACCGTCCTGCATATCAGATATTTACATGACGATTCATAACAGTAGCAACATTACAGTTATGAAGTGGCAACGAAAATAATTTTATGGCTGGGTCACAACATGAGGAACTGTATTTAAGGGGCCAGAAGGTTGAGAACCACTGATTTAGATTACATGGGTAAGTCAAATATTTTGGTAAACACGTAGAAAAACTTTCAGAACTTAATCTGATTTAAAGAAAAGAGTTTTTTCCCAAAGATCTTCAACACAATCATACAGGAAGTGTGAGAAGAGAAGGGGGCGTCATCCTCGTGCACAGACATGGCTCACTGAGCTGCTCTGTGCACAGCCATTTGGTTTTTCTAGTAGCGATGTCACGTCAGCAGCCTCACCCACGGCCTCTGCTGCCTTGTCCCCAGCAGAAAAGGGCTCATTTTTACCCCAGAAATTAACCAGTGGGAAAATTTATTTCTTAATCCCCGGGAACCAAACTCCTCAGCGTCGGCTCTGAGTGCCCTACGTCAGGACCCTCCTCTGACGGTCCCATCAGGGGGCGTGGTTCTCAGTGGAGCCATCCACACACACCACACTCCAGGGACTTGGGCGATGCCCGAGCACCTTTTTAGTTTTGACAACTGTTGTGGGGGTGGAGGTGTCACTGGCATCTACTGGGCAGAAGCCAGGGATGCTGCTGAACACCCTACAATACACAGGGCAGCCCCACAACAAAAGACCAACCGTGTACCTACTGAGTAGGCTCGTCTACGAGTTACCTGCCCTCACCCTAAAAAGACTGTTTACCAGGTCTGCCTTTTTCAGAAACCACCGCACCCCGGTATTCATGGCAAGGGCCTGCTTAAAGGAACCTACCGTATCATCTCATATTTACCTGAAAGGAATGTAGGTTGTATCGCCGAGCATTAATATTGAATATGCTTCTTCTGGAGTTCTCCCCAAATATATAACCTACATTGGAAAGGAAGAAAGGGGCAATTTACTTCCACATGAAGACGCAGTGCGGTCGCTGCCAAGCTCCGCACCATTTCTAGCGGCCGACGGAGCCCGTTCCCAGGCTCCCAGGGCCCCCGTTACCCAGCCCTGCCAGTGAATCCCTTTTTTGTTTAAATCTGCCACAGCTCGTTTCTGTTGTTGCAATGAGAGCCGTTTGTGGCGGAAAGTAGAGAAATTTAAAAGCAGATTTTCTAGCCCGGCCGGTGTGGCTCTGCTGGCTAGGCATCCTCCCGAGTGCCGAAAAGTTGCGGGTTCGATTCCCAGTCAGAACACATGCCTGGGTAGCAGGCTGAATCCCCAGCAGGGGGCGTGCAGGAGGCAGCCAGGTGATGCTCTGCTCTCACATGGGTGATGTTTCTCCCCCTCCCTAAAAATCAATTTAAACAAACAAACCCTACAGTGATTTAAACAAATAAATGAAAACAGATTTTCTAGGTCAGGATGTTAGACAGAGCGCATGCTTCCTAAACACCCACTAAAGTGACAGTACAGAGGTGTGTGGGGAATGGGGTGGGAGGGTGGACTGGGACAGGGATGGGTGGAAAGGGGCACAAATGCAGAACAAAGATTAACGCTACGGAGTAGACGTAACCACTCATCGTCCTGTACAGACTTCCTGTAAAACCGCACTGCTTCCTTTATCTTCTGGAGACGTTACGTTTCAGCTTTCATCTTCTAGAGCACTTCAAGTAGAGTCTTCCGCATTCGAGATCCACAGCTGGTGTTCCTTGCATTTTCCAAAAATGCCTTGTTTTCTGCCCCGGCATATTTTACTATGTACACAGTTTTATGCGGTTTTTGGTCTGCGGCCCCTTTCCCGCAATAGTTTATAGATGTTATTCCGCCGTCTCCTCATTTCTGGTGTTGCAGAGTATGTACCAGGATCACTCTCCCTTCCTCCTCTCTAGGAACTTCGAGCATTTCACTGGCGTCCCTCTAAGTAAGTCACCCTGCCCCATTAAGTTTGCTAGGACTTCCTGACCCTCATTCTGAAGACACAGTTTTTTTAAAAAAAAATCCTCACCCTAGGATATTCTTTTCATTGATTCTAGAGAGAGGTAGGGAGAGGGAAAGGGAGGGAGGGAGGGAGGGAGAGAAACATAGATCTGCCTCCTGCATGCACCCCGAAACCTGAGGATGTACCCTGACAGGAAGCAAACCCACGACCCTTCAGCGCATGGACCACGCTCCCACCACCTGAGCCACAGTGGCCAGGGCTGAAGGCACAGGTCCTTCTCCAACTCACAACCTTCCTGCAGGGCAGGGCATTTCCAATTCCTGTATGGAGGCGGGAGGAGGCTGCAAGCATTAGATTTGCACATATATCACCAATATTAGATTCCATTCTAACGCTTATTGTAGCTTTACATAAAACACTTTAAATTCTCTGTAGCAAAAAGAAGTCACTGAAAAAGTTACGAAAGTTCTATCTCCATTACTTATTATACATGAGTTGTTCCCACTGCAAATGGTGAGCATTCTGAAGTGCGGATCCATACCTTATGTTTCATTGTAACTCTCTTGGTTAGTCCACTATAGTCCACATGGACTCTGATTCACCAAACTTAAATCAATATAAAGGAAATTTTAAAATAATTGATAAAAAGCTGATATAAATATATCACTGGACTAAGAGAAATTATAAAAATCCAAGACCCAGCAAGGATCTTTGAAACTGAGAGGACATGTCCCCCTAGTTTCCAGATAATATTTTATCAATTTTCAGTTTTAAGACTCATAAATGGAAAATTTCCCCAATGTATAGCTTGTTTCTCAGTATGATTTCATCCCATTTACTCTAAAAAGAATACAAAACTATGACTCACTATTCAGAATTTCTAACATTTACCTGCAGCAGTGTACGAACCCACAGGGGGTACTACAGATACCTCAATTCCAAGAATTGCTTCGTTATCCAGTATCAGATAAATTTTCAATTATACTATTACTGACTCATACAAGATTACAATTTATCATAAATTAACCACAAGATCTTATCTCATTCAACATTTTCTATTTGCTTATATATTACTTTCTCCACATTTACATCTTTTAAACGTCAACCTAGCAATTAACTTTCTAATTTATTACTATTTGAAAAAACAGTAAAACAATTATTTTTAAAAAATATTTTTACTGATTTCAGAGAAGAAGGGAGAAGAAGAAAGAGATAGAAACAACAATGATGAGAGAGTATCATTGATCAGCTGCCTCCTGCACACCCTACACTGGGGATTAAACCCGCAACACAGGCATGTGCCCTGACCAGGAATCGAACTGTGACCTCTTGATTCATAGGTTGACATTCAACCACTGAGCCACGCCAGCTGAGCACAAATCTTTTAATAAAAAAATTTTAATCCAGCCCCTGCTCCAATTTCCTCATTTTCTTCTAGTTTTCAACACACTTCCTTTCTCTTCTAGGACTTACTAGATAACATCAGTCTTTTCTTCATTCTACTTGGGGACTTCCTAGCAGACTCCTTCCAAATAAACCACCCTTAAACAAAAAACACAACAACAAAGCAAATAAAAGGATACCTTGAGGCCAATGAAGGTGAGAATAGGGCTTGTGTGTGTGTGTGTGTACACACACATAATTTAAGTAAATTAGTTCAATGAAATCCAAAGACCTCTTTCCGATTTTCTCTTATTGTCTAATAAGGCCTCTCAAATTACAGAAAGTTTTCCATAAGCACCAGATTAATGATAATTCCTCCTGCCCAAAAATGCACTAATTTGGTTTTGCTCTTTACTAACACTGCAATGGCATTATTTCCTTCTAACTTCCAAAACAAAAATAGTCTCTAATACATTAAATTATTGTGGGTTAGCCTTGGAACACAAGTTCAACTCAAAAAAGACAATAATATAACAATTTTTCCTATGAGGAAACATCCTAATGATGAACTTTAAAAAATGTAGCTTTTAAATCCAGTTGGGACAAATACAACCAAAGAAAATGAGTAAGAATGAGAAAGAGAAGGAAAAAAAACAAACAAAATTCAGCTGAGGAATGCCTGTACACGAATAGATAATAAGTCTATTTACATAATGCTATGGTAAGAATGTGTGTGTGTGCCCCGCCAGTTCCTATGTTGAAATCCTAAGTATCAGTACACGAGGCCTTTGGGAGGGGCTTAGCCGTGAAGTGTGCAGCCCTCATAGACGGGACTGGTGCTTACAAAAGAGGCTTCAGAGAGACCCGCCCTCTCCTACAGGTGAGAGCCCTCAGCCGAGCACACGTCACCCTGACCTGACTCCCAGCCTCCAGACCGTGAGGAGTACAGTTCTGTTGTTTCTAAGTGTCCCAGTCTGGTATTTTGTTAATAGCAGCCTCAAAGAAGTAAGATACAACTATCAAAGAAATATTTGCTAACAAGCTATCATTTTAAATTTTACACCCATTCACCTGCTTTCCTAGTCAAAAGGCCTCCCCCAAATGAAACTATTCTAAATTTGTTGCTTAAGAAAAACCCTATAAATGGCTCTTCTGTTAACACAAATTCTCAAGTCAGTAAACTCTAAATCAATGCAATTCTATGAAACATCAGTGTTCCTGACAATTTGGAAGCTAAATGGCATCTCAAATTCTTTTGGTCTATTTTCATGAGTAGCCATGCATATAGAATGGCCACTCTGATTCCACACTGCTGTCCAAAAATAGGAAGCAGCAAATGGTGAACAAGAGGGACATTAAACAGCTGTGTAGCCTGCTTCCAAGACAGCCCCCGTAATGCCCATCTCCTGGCATTTCCACCCTCACGGGTCCCTCCATGAGTAGGTGCCTCTGTCTAAGCAGCTGATGTTGTAGTTAGTAATGGCCAAGTGTGATTTGGAGGCTAGATCGTAAAAGGCACTGTGGCTTCTTTCTGCCTTGCTTCCTTGTGGACCCCTCACTCCAGACCCAGGGAAATCAAGTTATCATTCCATGAGGGCACTCGGCCAGATCACATGACAAGGACCTGATGGTCTCGTGCCTGCCCAGATTGCCCCCTAACCACTTCTGCCTGCCAGCCTGATCGCCCCTAACTGCTCCCCTGCCAGACTGATCACCCCCAACTGCCCTCCCCTGCAGGCCCGATCGCCCACAACTGCCCTCCCCTGCTGGCCTGATCGCCCACAACTTGTCCTCCCCTGCTGGCCTGATTGCCCACAACTGCCCTCCCCTGCCGCCCGATTGCCCACAACTGTCCTCCCTTGCGGGCCTGATTGCCCACAACTGCCCTCCCCTACCGGCCCAATCGCCCACAACTGGCCTCCCCTGCCGCGACCCGCCTCCTCTACCAGGACCGGCCTCCTCTGCACCGTGCGTATGGAGCCATGGTACCCCCAGACCTCACCTCATGGAGCAGCTGCTAGGCCACGCCTCCACTGTACCTGCAGCCATCTTGTGGTGACCATCTTGTGGTGACCATCCTGTGGTGACGTTGCGTGCGAGGGTGTGACGCCATTTAGGCTTTTATTAGTATAGATACGTATCTAGTACATTTGTACAGTGACTCCCAATTTAGATACAAGGAAATTGGATGCCTGGAGTGGCAAACACTTATTTCCCAAGGCCAGGCAGCTCACAGATGTGAGGAACTGCCGGGAGGAAGAATGTACAGGATATACTATCTTATTGGTGGAGACATTTTTTAAGACAAAAAAAATCTTAATTTTAAAAAATGAAATCTCCTAACTTTTAAACATGGGAAAAACAAACCACTATTTAGAAACACTCGGAGTCACGTGGAGCTGGCAGGCTGCTACTGTCCGGCCTCGGTGCTGACTGCTCACTCAAGATCACACTGCTTGTGACTGACGGAAGAGGGCCTAATGCTCCAGCCTTATTTATAGACAAGAAACCACGCTACCTTCAACAACGCGGAAACAAGAAGGGCATCCAAACTCCAGAGCTTAACAGATCTGCAACCAAAGAGCATATGTGGTCAGAGGGCCACTGCTCCTCA